TCTCCCTCCCGCCCTCCCACCTTCTGGAAAGGTCACCGCGGCCCGGGGAGGGTTCCAGTCCCGCTGGGTCAGCGGAGGCCGGAGGCTGTCCTGGGAGCCCCTCCGAGGGTGGCACGGCCACACTGATCTCGCGCCTTCGTGCTCCTCAGGTGCTTCCCGCTGGGCCCGAGGGTGTCACGGGTGCCCGCAGGGGTTACCCGTTGGCCATGGGGCTGCCTTTCTGTGCTGCCATGAGTTCCCAGCTAGGAGAAGGTGTGAAAGCAGGAAGACTGGATTTCCTTTGGTTTGTTGTCAGGGCTTCTCCTCAGCCTCCTGTTCCCAAGTACTTTTGTCTTTATAAAGAAGCTCTCTCTCCCCAGACTCCTTGGTGTTGTGAATGCAGGAAAAGCTCGCTTTTATGGCTTATAAATATGATTTATAGCAGAGCTGTCAAGTCACCATATTAATTGCCTCCGGTTGACTACCCTCTGCAGTCTTGTCCGGCATTGCTTTTTTCTAAGAACACCTCTTGCTAGATCAGTTTAAGGCTCAGCTAAGCCAAAGCATACCTCTAGCTACCCAATCAATACCAATAATAAAAACTCCGAAGGTTCACCTATCTCCTTCCCACACCTACCTCCCTCCAGGCGCATTGATGCACTCGATGCCGTTGATGCACTGGGCAGGAGACACTCACGTCTCATGCAGCTGCATTGCTCTGTGGAGCTGATAGGAGCCCGGAGCAGGTGGGATGATGGGGGTGTTGAAATAGCCTTAGAGGTCTGTCAGGAGATCAAGTTTTCCCATAGGTACACACAAGGATCAGGCTTGCTGAATAAGTTATCTTCAGTCACTCAAGTGGACTTGAGTTCATGTTTCATTTATGATTTAACTTCCTCTATTGAGGAAAAATCTGCCTACATTGAAGACTTTTGCCCTAGTGTTTCACCAAGCACATGCATATCTCTGTCTCCAAGTGTATTTCAACCCTAAATACTCACTAGCCCTCAGTGTGCTGCAGTGATAATCCTCTCATCACGTGCCTGGGACAGTGAGGAAAAAAAAGCCTGTGTGCTTGGGAGCAGAGGTGAGCATTTTCTGAGTCACGAACTTGCCGCCCCACATAGTGCCTGCACAGCGGTGCAGGAGAACAACGCACCGAGGGAACACAATTAAAGGTTCAGGTTACTCTTCACAGTTAGTTTCAGTTGCTCAGCTGCTCCCCAAACAGGGGCGATGGACGACTTCATGCTGGTAAGAGTACTGCTCCTCCCACACTTCATGGAATGGAAAAACCACTTCTCTGCCGGCTGTGCCTCAGCACATCCTGGTGGCAAAGAAAGAGGCAGAGACCTGAGATACGGGGAGGAATCAGATCTGTCAGCTCCAGCATCTGGCTGGAGGCTCTGGCTTTCCTCTAGCCTGTTCTTCAAGCAATGCTCTTCTGGGCTTCTTCAAGGGCCTTTTGATCCTCAGCTGGTTTCATCTCCCACCCGAGTTGGGAGTATTTTTTAACTGTATAATTCTACTGATCCAGTTGATCTAGCTCATACTGTTGCTGAGGAAGATTTCTGCCAGTACAGGGGTAAAAAACAGTGGTCAGGGATGTGGTTTTTTTAAGACTAATACTCATAACAAGCCTGAGGAGAGCCTGATGTTAGGCACTGTACGTTTCTCTCACTGCACCACTCTGGAGGTTGGTGGGTGCCAGCACTGCTTTCTGCTGCAGCTCCGCAGAGAGGGGCATTTGCCTTGTAAACTGGCAGCCTTTGCTTCTGATTAAAGGATGTGGTCTCTACAGAACGACCACAAAAGCATTAGCCCAGCGTAAAGCTCTAGCAAGCACCAAGCTACAAAGCCCTGTTGCTTTTACTGAGGGACGTTAAACAAGTAATGCCACAGTAATGCCTTGATACGCTATGTTAGTGAGGCAAGAGCAACCTGGGTCATGTTTGAGATCTCATGCGGGTTTTAGCACAGATTTGGGATCTTTGCTCTTCTCTGTAGCCCCTGCTGCCTTATGCTTCTCATCAGTCAGCCACAACAGGGTCACAGAGCAAGAGA